TTATATTATTGAAATAGCATTGAAGTATTATAAATAATTATACTAACTATGTAGTTAATTTAATTGTTTGTGTATTTTAAATAAGACACCATTAAAATATTATAATATATTGCAATATTCATAAGCACTTTTTTATCATTTTTTGAGATGACATTTTTGGAAGCTCTTCTATAGAAAGTTTCCGAGGCTCTTTAAATATCAGGCCGACACTGCTCACCCCTATTATTTTTCAGCGCTATCTGGTAATACGCGTGCCTTTACACGCTACCAACATATATACAAGCCGTAGAGATATACATTTCCGATGCAGAGGAGTGAAACATTTTTACGAGCTAAATAAACCCATAAAAATATTAACCCCATGCCCCGCATCATATTCTTCCATCGCATGGGTGGCGGAACAAGAAAATATAATTTTCGACGTTTCTCGATCACATGCTGTGGACACAAATTTAAAATATCTTAAGTCTAAAATTTAGAAATCTTTCTTCGCGCAAACATTATAAACGGAAAAACATGTAATACGCCTATATTCATTTTCTAATAACACGTGATAAATCCAGGGTTCACCGCAGTGTTTCTCCGTAGGATTAACACTGTGGCCCGCCTTGCATAACATTACATAATATGTATACATTGTAATTTAGACTTCGCCCACCTCCCTGTCGACCACCACTGTGATAGAAAGCTACGGTGGAAACCCGGTACACATTAACCATCTCCTATAATACTCGATATCTATGTTGCTGTAAAACGAACGTAAAAAAAAAAATAAAACTAACATTCGCATCTGACCACGAGACTACATATTCTTTGTTAAGGTTAAAAATGGGCTTTTGCTGCGGACCGATTTATCACGTATGACAGCATACTTTCCCGTCCATAGGCCTTCAGTACCGTACCACATAATTTATATTCATAACCAACAGGAGCGGATCTAGGGGGTAGAGGGTTGAGGAGGTCAGCTGACCCAGAGTTTATATTTGTTGACAAATTTGGCTTCTTGAAGACTTCTAATGTTTTTTAAGTCTGCCCACTATAGACTGAAGTAAATACTAGACTGGAACAAATTCCCCAGTTACCACCCTCTAAAATTACGCCACTGGTTTAATTTTATAGTACTGTAGAAAATCTCTGTGCTGGACCTCTTGTAAGACGGAATCCTCCATAAAATACAATGATAATTTTAAATAAACTGAAAAACACATATTACACGATCATATCGTTTTTTTTTTTACAAAAAGCATACATTTATGATCTAGTTTCAGCCCATATAAGTGATATAGTCTGACCTTCAGTTCTCTAACTTTGGATCCACCCCTGATAACCGTAGTGACAACCGCCTTCGAGGGGAAACGGGTAGTTGACATCACGGAAACTTAAACCGAAATGGTATTCAAATCAATCATGACAAGACCGTTCGCCGGCAGCGTTCATGGATCGACATCGCGAAACTCTCGTCAACCACGGGTCATGTCAACTTTTGAAAACCATCCGACAGCTGCGGTCTAAAACAACGTGACAAATAATTATATTTTCGTCGAATTGAAAACCGAACGAAAACCGCTAACGGTCGGCGATGCTATACGCTCCACCGGATCGATTAAAAAATTTGTTTCGATGACCAGTAACCTCCCTCCCCCCAGTAATAAATATTCGATTATACATAATTGTTATATAATAATAAATAAGATTTTTTTTCATTAACCTAACCCCATACTGCCTACCAATCTGAACCTTCTGAAATTGAATTATTTTCAAATGTATGAACTATCCTCCATCCAAAAAAAAAAAAAAAAATTCTGGTTGCGCCACTGTAAGGACGACACGCACAAACTGCACAAGTATCTGCAGCGTGTATCATAGCGTCGAACACGCGTCGGATCGGAAATTAAATCGAGACGAACAACGAGAAATCACCCGTGCATTACTAAGAGGTCAGCGGAGGATAAAAAATAAAAAGGAACGGTTCAAACGCACATTTTTCGGTTCGTTCACCCGCGTTTGACCAACGCACAACACATTTAACTCGGCAGATTTTCGAAGCTGATCCGATCGGCCGTGGATGATTTAAACTCCGCGATCACATCGATTTGACATTTATACATCAGTCGCGCATCGATCATCGGAGATTAGGAATTAGGAAAGGCAATTTTTTTTTTTTGTCCATCAAGTTCCGTGTACGAGAAAAGCATAACCGGAGCCGTCGGGCACTGTGACACAGTGCTGCTGACTGAAAGTCTTCATTTACTACCAGATTCATTGCGATATCATACATGGAAACGGTAACAAAGCGAACGTCGGACAGTCAATTTACCGACTGACATGCGTGCACGCAAAAACAGCAATAATATCAGATTTAAACGTCAAATTCTAAAACACGTATATTTATTTGACTGGCGTGTATATTTATTTTGTTATCATATATTTCATACAGTTGCTGAACATATTTTATTATTATGATTTTCAAATACTCGGTAAATATAAAATACAGTAGCATAATAAAAAAAAATATAGCTGAGCATGCACAAAATGTAAAATTCTTGAAAACATTGTGAAGAATAGAAACAAAATATCCGAAAAATAAATGTTCATCCAAACATTGGAATGTTTTCAATCAAAATACAGATCTTTGTGAGCTTGAATTATATTAAAATATCTGTATTTTAAGTTCAAAATTAATTAATTTCGAAAAATGATTTTCTAATTACGGTACAATGATTAAGAGTTCTATACGGATAAAAAACAATATGTCGATTAATATTAACTATTGATTGAAAGAATGAATTAACATTATTCAAAATATAATATTTTTCGTTAAAAGGTTCTGAATCAATATTTTAAAATATATTGCTATTACTATACAGTTCATTATGTTCACCCTAAATGTACAGCCAAAATAAAAATATAATTTTGAAGTTCTTCAAGTATACTAAATAAATATTTATTTTGACAGCGGCTTAGCCACTGGGTGAGAAAGATGTATAACCCCCCCCCTCTCCAAAACGTCACTGTTAATTTGTAAAATATTAAATCATTTTAAGACATTTGTATAATGTTATATCAAGTCATAATCAAACAATTTTCACAGTTTCAACAAACTAAATGATAAAAAATTTTATATTTTAACTTATGTTTAGTGAACTTATTAAAATTAAAAATTCAGCACTTAATTAGGAGAGGGAATTGAACATTTAAGTCCTCCCACAAAATATTTTTCTGGCTACGCCACTGTTATAGACTATAAATAATATAATATATTTTTCAGTTATGTATGAGAATATTTAGAACTTAATCTTTTTATTATATCGCTTTATTCAATATTCAATGATCGGAGTGGTTTTTTTATTTTTACTTCAGAATTAAATAAATATAAAATAACATTATATGTGTTTGATTTTGTAAAATAAAATAGTTCAAATATTTTTACTATCTTAACTATAAAAATATTGATCTCTTGAATGGTTAGGAAAAACAATATTAACCCATAACTGGTATAGTGAAAATTAAATGTTTTACTACTAAATCATTAGGATCTAGGTTCAAGTATTTTTAAGGCTTTATATCAATTGCGCTGAAATTGCAGGTAAAGAAATAAAAAATATGGGATGGAAACAATGGGTATACATCTGTTGCGCCGGTATAAAAAGGGTATAATTTATAGGTATTCATCTATTATACCGATCGATATTCGAGTTAATATATTTTGCGATTACCTCATTGATACATATATTGATGAAAATGCAACTTTTCCCCGTATATTTGGTCATCGTGTAACATATCAGGCGAAAGAACATCAAATGCCTGTGAGGCATTTCACTCAGCGTTTGGGAAATATTTTTATTCACCCACACCAAATATTTTTGTTTTTTTATGAAGTTTTAAAAATAATGTAACACAACAATCATAATACGTGTTCTCTTAGTTATCATAAATAAACAAAACTTTAAATTGACGACAAAAAAAATAATTAGTAAAATAGACATAACTAATTTTAATATTAGACCTAAGATCTTTTCAAAATTTGAAGGATTATTGTAAATATATAATATACTATTAGTGTTAATACCAAATATGTAGAAAGTTTGATTTTAATTTTAATTTTTTTTTTAGCCATTACTTGTACTGTATAGTTGTTATACCAGAGCAATAGATGTATACCTTTTAAATATACCTTTTTTATACCGGCACAATAGATGTATATATTTTTAATGTACCTTTTTTATACCAACGCAATAGATGTATACTATACAGGTAGTGTTCCAAATTCAGTGTAATTGACGAATACCGTTTTGAAACTATAATAGTTCATTTATTTATTTGAAATCCAAAGTTAAGTATCTAAAAATTTTAGCACGGTAGAAATATTATTTAGTCACGACCGTTTTAATATATTATTTATAACTCAGTTATAAATGATATACTCGTCAAAAAACCATGATATCACCAAAGTGGATTAATTATTATTTGAGAGCAAAACATTTTAATTTATACCCTGGCGCCACTATTGGAAAAGACCATATTGGATTTTATCTCGGTGGATTAAAAATACGTAAATATTTAATTACAAAAGCAATTACGGTGGCTCTCAAACAATGATTATAAGTGTATCAATTAAATTTAACTGTACTAAACACTTGTTTATGTTACTTGTGGTTCAATGTGACAAAAATAACAAATGTTTATGATTAGGAATTTATTATAAATACAGTTATAAAAATAGTACTAAAAAAAGTATAAAAATACAATTCGATAAATCTAAGCTTGTGATTTACAACATTAGGATGTAGGGACGTTTTTATATATAAATAAAAATATACAACCCGAAATAGATTAAGAACCGAATAAGTTATATTTGAAATCTAAAATATGTAAAATATTGAAATACAGTTTAAAATTAAATGCACTGTTACCAACAAATATATTATACTTATAATGTAACTGCTTCTTAAAAAAAAAAATGTTGAAAATCTACAATCGATTTTCTTTTACTATTTCAGGTAATGTTCGGGGTCATACAGAGGTATGCCTCATGGTTGCCCGTGGATGGTGCCACTGTTTAGATGGGCCTTACTGTCTGGTTGCATGGCCAGACCGTTGAGTTCCGGTACCGGAATGTCCGACATTGTAACACAAAACATGACAGAAGGTAATTTACTAGCAAACAATATAAAGCCATTATAAAATGTCAAACTGCGCAGGATAATGGCAGGTTTTTAACAGTAAACCCTAATCAAACAAACACACGGTTATAGGAATCCTCGAAAATTCGTGATACACTCGCCTATATATCCTCCGAGAACAATACGCATGCTTCACGAAACGAGAGCTGTAGGATCAATGCGACAAAAACGAATAATTCTCTGTTACGTTAGATTAACGTTGTATAATGTATCATGCTATATTGTTGGGTGTTACGAAGTATTATATTACGATAATGTTTAATTTTCTCGTGTGACTTTTGTTTCCGGTCAGCTTAGAGTGCACCACACGTATGTTTTTAAAGTTATCTAACTTTCCGATCCACGGCAACGACCTGCTTGTGCTTATCCAGCTGAGGTGAGGTTGGGCACGAAATATTTATATGATCCTATTTCCGCGTCCAAAGCTAATCAGATTTTCAATTTTAGCTTTTGCTTTGAGCACGTGGTAAATTTTCGTACATCTTGGCATCCCTTCAAGGTTTTTATTCCCCCCCCCCAAAAAAAAAAAAATTGCATTTTGAAACTGCATTTTATACGATATAATTAGTCGGCGTTGATTTTTTACTCGCAAGAACCCATATACATTATATTATTGTCTGGTTACCATTCTATTTTAATTATTTTAGTTTGACTTTCAACTTTCTTATTTTTACTTTACTTCTAAATGTTCTAGTGTTATTGCTTCAAATATTTTAATAATTTCATGCAAAAAACAAGTGATCATTTTATTGGCAAAGTAGAGTAAATTATTTTAAAAATGATAATTGAATTGTATATAAAAATAAATGTACATAGTTTAAATTCTTTAATTCATTAAAGAAGGTTAGAAAACATCATTTAAAAAAGTTTGTTATTTACTTTTACTTGTTTTAAATCGCTTTAATTATTTTTTTTATCCATTCGAATGTTTTAAGATAAATAAAAATCATAAAATTAAATTAAATAATCAACAAATACTTAAATGTTAGAATGTTTATTTTAGATTTGTTTTAAAATTAAATGATAATTTTATTAACGAATGTACAATGTAACATTTTTTAGGTAAACTTGTATATAAAAATTAAACGTCTCGCAAGTCAACAAGTTTTATGTAACCGCGGAAAGAAAAAAAATTTGTAACAGTTATTAATTAAGGAAAAGTGCAGATTTCCACATCTAATTTTTAAGCCTGGCATTGTAGTTTCCAGCTTTATTTTTCATACGAAATCGAGTTTAATGCTTAAAATGTAATTATAAACTCAAGAAGAATTACATAGTTCGTACATTAGGTAACCTTATTGATAGTGATAAATTTAATTTTGTGATAAATTAAATTAATTCAAATAGAAAGCATAGCTCATTTTATAAAATTATATTAATTATCATGAATTACTTAATGACGGCTTTAAAAGTAATCAGATTTTATTTGATCTCGTATCATTTAAATGAATGCTGTGATAGATTCACACACATATATATGAGGACCAAAAGTTAGAAATTTCAAGTACATCTATGTTTTCTACATAAACTTTTTAATTCTACAATGCAATAAAATTGCTGAAAATAAAATATGATAAATATTAAATTTTTTGATCTTACTTTCATAATAATTTTTTGTTTTTTTTTAAAATTATAAATGTTATAAATTACATAATGCGGCATGAAATATATTATATTATTTAAAATTTCCGATTTTTAATCCAATAAGCTAAAATTACTACATGAATATTTTAAACACTTATACCACTCTAAAAAGTTATTTCCGGGAAAAAAACCATCAATGTAAAATAATTTGTTTTCTGACTTAATTGATTAAAAAATAGAACACAATGAAATGTATTGCAAACCATTTATGATAACTAACTATACACATATTATTTTAATTATAACTAAACCGAAATTTAAATACTTGGATTTAGTTATATTATTATATAAATATGTTTTCAAAACTATAGTACTGTATAACGTATCTTTTAAAAATTTAAATAAATTTATACTATTATCTTTATTACTCTCAAGTTGCTATTTAATGTCTTTAAGAGTTCAATAAAAAATTTGATAACATATCAATTATTTTTTGTAAACTAGAAAGATAAATTTTGTGCATGAAATATTTTTATTTATAATTAAATAATTAGTTTAATATTATAAATATACGTAACGCTGTTTTATTATAGAAAAATTAATTTTGTGAAATTATTCGTCAACATTTTTGTTAAGTAATTTAAACTTATATCAGCATTTAACATATACGGAAGGTATCACAATAATAATCATTACCTATATACCATGGGTACTTATTGCCTTTTATTTTTCATTTTAAATTCATTATACGCTAGCAGACCTAGAAAAAGTGACACTTACCAATTTAACTATAATTTATAAAAATGAAAAAAAAATATAAATATATATAACTATATGGATTTTTTTTTATGCAGAATAATAACTGTTGGGATCAATTAACAACTAAGTTACGGTAAAAAAAAAAAATGTGACATTGATGCCAATATTTTCATTAATTATTTTCTTTTCAATTATTATTTTTATTATTATTTTTATTATTATTATTATTATTATTATTATAATTAGTTTTTGCATAATATTAATACATGATGGATTACATCATTATGTTGTCTTAAGGTATTTTATCAAAAATAAAGTAGGTATGATTTTTTTTATTTCTTTTGTTGTACATTAATAAATTAATTATTTTAATCACGTTATTATTGTAAAACGAAAACAAACAACATTGTTCTTAAGTAATTAATACATTTTAAGAACTAAAGTTTATTTGTTTGAATCCAAATTAAGTAATTGTAGAAATACTACTGTATAACATATTTTTCACAATTCTAATTTCAATATCAAGTATCCAATTTAAATAACTGCCAAATATACTACAGAATACGATTGGAACGTGTATGCGATTGTAAATCATACACCAATATCATATAGTTAATTTCAACGGGTCGTACCTATTTACAAAACGAATAAATAATATTAATCTTACCTAAGGAGCAATGCAGTTAAGTTCACTGATCTGAGTTTATCGATGTACAGACAGGCAAGCAGGCCTAATTCTATTTGAGGAGGAGGGCTATAAACATTTTTATTCTCTCCACCTGAAATTAGAAACTTTTAAAAAAAAATAATTTTTAATTTAACAAATAATTGTTAACACTATTTTCATACATTAAGGATAGTAAAAAATGTTATTTTTAAAATTTTGGATGAATACGGAAAAAATTTCAGGGATGGAATAGGGTTTATGTTTAAGTGTGGATTATCTCCTTGGTTACTTGCCTGTGTATATATACATCTGCGATAAGCAGTGTTGTACTTAGATAAAAAAAAAATTATCTAGATATAGCTAAGATATCAGGATTAAAAATTATCTAGATGTAGATAGATACTGTAGAAATTTAATTTATCTAGATATAGATAGATAAAATAATTTTTATCTAGATATTTATATAAGGCATCAACGTTTTCATCCGTTTGTAGGTGAACTCTTTTGGTCTTGGGTAATGATTGTATTATGTAACAATCCATTTCAAATAAAACCAATAAAATAAAATTGAAAATCATAGACAAAATTATGAAAAATATGAAGACGGTCTGACGATAAACACTGAACACGTTGTGGATGAGAGTACGCTGCATACAGTACAAGTTTTTAATAAATAATGGACGTTTCACGCTTAATATTTATTTTGTTGTACAATAATATTATGTAGACACATCAAAGTACGAATTCATAGAATTGGGGTCCGGTAATGACAATTATTTAGAACACATGATTACATGAGGTCTATTTCCCTAGCACCCCCACTTTCAAATTTCGTGTCCGATCCGGTCCCAATCGTTTGTACCTCGTTTGTACCTGATTGTATCTCTAGCCCCTTCGTTTGTACCTTAACAGTTTTTAAGTTATCCTTGTTTTACTTGGGAGGATACAAGTAAATCAAACTTTTACTCTATAAAATAAAAAACATTGTGTGTAAAATTTAATTTTGTCTATGATACATATATTAACTTATTTTAAGTTATCTCTGTTTATTATCATGTACATTTTCAACATTTCTTAAGTTCGTGTGGTTAAAATTTTTGAAATTTTGCGGAATTTTGCATTCTCCGCATCAGATGTATTTCCATGACTAGTGTATACTTAGGAATACATCATATTCAAATTTACAATATATTTTTAATAAAAAATAAATTAAAATACAAACGGTTGAATATAAATATATGTGTATGTAAATTGTGATGAAAGTTATACTAATCAATTTCACTTTAATTCTGTTTTGATAAATTATATACGTAATTTTTTTGAATTCACTATTTAAAATATATATTTATTTTATTTCTTAATAAAAAGTAATAAGTATCTTATTAAAATTTATCCAATGGTATTTATTTTGTTATTATTAAGTATACACTAGTCATGGAAATACATCTGATGCGGAGAATGCAAAATTCCACAAAATTTCAAAAATTTTAACTACACGAACTTAAGAAATGTTGAAAATGTACATGATAATAAACAGAGATAACTTAAAATAAGTTAATATATGTATCATAGACAAAATTAAATTTTACACACAATGTTTTTTATTTTATAGAATAAAAGTTTGATTTACTTGTATCCTCCCAAGTAAAACAAGGATAACTTAAAAACTGTTAAGGTACAAACGAAAGGGCTAGAGATACAATCAGGTACAAACGAGGTACAAACGATTGGGACCGGATCGGACCCGAAATTTGAAAGTGGGGGTGCAAGCATTTCCCCAGCACTCCCACAATTAAAACAGTTATAACTTAAAAACTGTTGAGGTACAAACGAAGGGACTAGAAGTACAATCAGGTACAAACGAGGTACAAACGATTGGGACCGGATCAGACCCAAAATTTGAAAGTGGGGGTGCTGGGGAAATGAACCTGATTACATGAACATTGAACATAATTTATAATTAAATATTGAATTTAAAGCGGTCGATTGATGATGGAGAACGATCAATTTCTGTGTAATTACAGTGTAATGCGTATTGTAATATTGCTATTTTCTTATCGATAATTATTTCTGTATTTTAATATTTATAAACCATCTACCGCGCAGCTGGAATAATAATTAGTATAGATTTATAGTCAGGGGAGGATCTAGGGGGGTCAGGTTGTCAGCTGACCCACAGTTAATATTTGTTAACAAAATTGGCCTCTTGGAAATTTTTTTCTCTTTTTAGACCTTGATTTGGACTCTTGGACAGTTGGTCCATCGGAGATATTTGAATAATGAATGCCATGTTTATTCAAAATTTAAAATTTTTCAATTCATAATTTATATTTTAAATTATATCGTTTAAGTAGAAAGTTAAGTAAATTATATTTTATTTCATATGTTTGTTGTGCTGATAAAATTATATTATATTTATTAATCGTAAATATGTCATTATCGGTGGTGTTACTAATTCTAAAATGTTATATAAATATACTTATAAACTTTTATGAGCATATTGTGTTTTTTTTTTTTTACAAGGTATTCATTTCTAATTCAGTTTCATCCCTAATAAATGGCCTCTTGAAATGGCTTGACACACAGTTCCCCGACTCTGGTTCTACCCCTGCCTATAGTGCGTTATCTCTGGTTCTAATATTCTTGTAAATGCTCTTTCAGCGTTCGTAATACCACAGAACAATAGTAATACGGGCATGAGACTTCCTCATATGGGCCATACTATGAAATTATAAATAATTCTCACCTCCCATGCATATTATGTAGGTAATATATGTCTATAAACCTAATAAATTGTCACTGTTCATAATTAATAATAAATTCTATGTAAAACTATTTTAGAACCAATTTTTGCAAGTAAATATACAAAAGAAATTTCTTATTTAGTTATTTATTTTATATTGAATGATAAAACTGTAAATTAATTACTAATGATTAGTTACAGATTTTGTGAATTACCTAGATAAATTTATCTAGATGGCTATAATTTTTATCTAGATGAAAATTAGATGTCAATTTTATTTTTTATCTAGATAAGATAACGATATGAAGTTTTTATCTAGATAACATATCTAGATAAAGCACAACACTGACGATGAATGATGTTATGCTGAAGGTCTTGAATCTTTATACTGGACAGCGTTTTAGTCACGGATTGATTTTGACTGTTTCAGAAAACTTAACTTGCTACACTTGCGTAAACGTGTCGGACAATTTGACGTGCAACCAATACGCCATCGATAGACCGTGTGCTCGAGGTATGTACACATGTTATTATTGTAATCTCGATTATCGCGTGTCAATGGCGGCGTAGTAAGTGCACGGTGATCTGTGTCAACACCGGGAATGTAAAACCATGATGGGGTCACAAAAAACTTTACTTCAAACTTATTTTTACTGGTTAAGAAAATGGATTTTACGACGCTTCCTGCGCCACCGTCTCGAGTTAAACGTTTTCGGTCATACTTTCACCGTTTATTTTATATATGTTTCCACAGACCTAGACTACTGCCAGACGTTACATATTATGGATTCGACTGGATCCAGCGTCATAGTGAACAAAAAGTGTGCCAATCGAACAGAATGCCATCCGTCTACAGTCGGATGTCTGAGCATTGACAGACAGACAGTAAGAACTCAATTGTTGTTACTTTATCATAAAACTATTAACATAATTTATGCACATTCGTAGTTTACGAACTATATACGAAATTATTAAAACCATAAATGTTCAGAAATCCCGTTCACGTTATAATCATTCATATTCGGACGTGTTAAAAAGAAAAGAAAAAAAAAAAAGATTCGCCAAAGTAATCGAATGTTTGGTAGTGTGTGTTGCATTAATTGCGCAACGTTGTCGGTAAAGAAAGAAAAGAAAAAACCCGAAAACACGCACCATTTGAAATTTAATATACCGGAATTTATATTTCAAATAATGATTACAAGTTTATAAAATGGTCATTAAATGATACGGACCAAATTGTCAAGAGTATTAAGAATAAAAATAAAATAAAATGTATTTAAAGGTATATAAGGTATACAGAGATGGTGGTTGCGTGTTGACAAGAATGAATGTGGTTTGAACGTGTGCCATGATGAATGGAAACCAAGGAAATGAGGAAACGGAGTGTGATACATGTGATTTAAAGAGACAAAAATAATAATAAATCGATGTAATGTCAAAAGATAAAAATAAAATGGAAAGGTATGAGATGTGGATAGGATTTATACATTAAATAGACGACCGGAAGCAAAACAAACAACTCCATTGTGATTTTTTTTCCATTGTTCATTTTAATCCATCGCTATAGAAAATTCTTCTTAAAATCCACTATCAACTCCATTTCGATTATTATTTCTATTATTATTATTTTGACTTAATGATTTCATACCTCTCGACTATTATTTTAAGACTCAATTACATATCATAAGGTGAAGAAGGTGGGTTGGAGATTGAATCTCTAAACAATCAGACGGTTACCCATTCAAGTCCGGAGAAGCTGCTAAACCGTAGCCGGCCGACTGGCAAACTATCATTCTCCTTACCCTCTTCCCTACCACGGTCACAAAAAATCCCATTTATTGCTATTTGACGAATAAAATCTCGCTAAAAACACTTTTTTGCGTAGGCTGTGTTGTAAAATTACATCTGGAACTGCTTAATGACGTAATAAAACTGATATAAAACAGTAATACTGTATTTTTTGATATCTTTGAATTGATTTATTTCGAAAACATACCATAATACGCCGTATGAGCTTAGTTATTGAGAAATTGACAATTATAATAATTTACATCATCGTAATGAACAAAAAGTGTTTAGGTATTATAGTTCTACAGCTTTCTCCGAAAAAACATGAAAAATAGTTAAACGTTTAGTAAAAATTTGCAAATAAAACATCATTTTGTGAAAAAAAAAAGGCAATAACGTAATATTCATATAGTTTCAGTATCCATATTATAATATAATTTTGTGCGCTTAAAAATTATATTATGTGTACGGTATAAATAAATAAAATATTTTTAAATCGTTTTAATGACTTACTGGATGAAATAATAACAAAAAAAAAATTATCAATAATTTGTTATACTAGTAGTAGCACTAAAATTATCATAATTGATAAAATATGCAACCAATGCAGGCATTTCATGGCACGCGATTGCTTAGAAGGAAAAGTTTTAATCATACCTATTTCTCCAGAAATTGTTTATTTAGTATAATTATTAATATTATTTTTTTCAGAAAAAAAAAATAAAATATACTCACATAATTTATGATGATGAATGATATAAATTTAATGTACCGCTAAAAATAAAATCCTTGTAGCTTTATTGATATTTCTACTCGAGAAAATCAAAACACGGAACATCACTTGAAAATATTTCAAAAAAAGTCAACATACTACATTATATGGCCATGACAGTTTCAGCCATGCATTTTCTAAGTGAAAAATTTATTATTAAATGTATAAATACTTTTAATTTAATTTTTGGAGATATATTATACAGAGTTTTTGTTTTAGCAAATCCTTCTGCGATGGTTCAGAGTTTTATTGAATTATTCTTAAAGTATTATGATCTTTGATTTTTTAAATATTCATTTAAAGCATGTTTTTATATTGTATTATAAATATTATCATACCGAACCCTTAAATTAATTGTTGGTTATCAAGTGGTCTCTTCTTGCATAAGGAGCAATATTTTTTTTCTAAAAATTGTAATGAATAAATGCTATGAAAAACATTTCTTATCGCTATTTTTCTCAATAACTTTACTGTACTTGTCAAACATGCACCTTTATATATTAAAAATTCAAACAATATATTAAATTGTATAGTTCTTTTTATATAACCCGAGAGAAAATTTAATTTAAGCTAAAATTATATATTTTTCTGTTTTTGTTGTAACTTATAACTTTATAAGAATACCCGTAATATTGTCAATAATTCAATAATAGATACGATAAGATAATTAAGTATGACAAAATGGTATAGGAAAATTAAACGTTTGGAATATAAAAAAATAAAAATATAACACATTTAAAACATAATATCCAACTGCTATACGTAATATATTTAGATCATTGATAATTCATTCATCATAAATAATAGAAAAATATAAAAGTGTCCTTATTTGTTTAGAGAAATGTTAACAAAAACGAATACATCTCGATCATTAGAGGAAGATTAGAAAATAAAAGTGAATTAGGAAGAAAAAGAAAACAATTGCAAATCATATTTTGTAAAGCCCATTGTCTTAACATACATTTTTAAGTTAGTAAGAAGGATAAAGTTAAGGATGTGTTTAATTTATGTGATATTATTTTTGAAGATAAGTAATCTATATAGGAATCTAGGTATATATACTTGCAATATAGGAAATTAATCTTCTTAAATTAAGTCTGTTGAATCTTTCTCAAGAAAAGAGTTGGAAAGTTACAGAGTAGGTGAATTATATATATATTCCATTATCAGCGGTTTGCACGCGCAATTGTGAGTCAAAAGTATACATGCTTAAATCACATTTTTTTGTCCAAAAGTTGTTTTCTATTCCACCCGATTCTTTATTTAAATAATGTCTAATCGTAATCGACGAATCAATCATACCGCAGTAATCTAGGTTGACGTGTTCCTCGTACGCAATACGTATATGATATCACGCCCATACGGACTTTGAAAAATCGGGTAGAGGGAAACCGCGATTAAGACTACATGATTTTTTCACAGTGCGGAACTAGTGGTGGCTTGAGTTTTTAAAAGGAGCTTTTTAAAAAGAAGCAAGCTTCATAACCACTCATCTCCCCATCGAATTTGTTTTACCAAACTATTATCGGTATTACCGTACATTAATGAAACGTAGTTATGACCACTTCAGCTATAGCCATCTATACTATATATCAGGGTCGGCCGACTAGCGGCCCGCGTACTATTTTTATCTGGCCCGTGCTCCGTTTTCAAATCACTTCATACAATTTTAGCGTTAATCAGTATTTAATTTTTTCACGCTGATCGTAAAATGTAGATATTATTTTTTTCTTTAGTATTAAACTCCAGGTTAGACCTTTTTTTATTTTTATTTTCTTAACTCTGGTCCACTAGATTTTTAAGATTCTAAAAATTGGCGCTCTAATTTCTTTGAGTGACCCGTCTCTGATATCTACTAACGCGCTGTTGATCAATTATAAACGGTAATTTACAACGTACTACATATAGTTTAGATAACCACCCACATTTATTATTTCTTTGAACCAAGGGCGGTCGTTCCTGGTAGTCTTCTAACAAGTCGCCCCTGCGTGGAACAGTACGAATTCCAATAATCGTAGGACGAGCGTGACACGTAGCCGTAGGTTGAACAACAACTACCATTTATTCTTAAAAATTAATGATTATTTCTTCTGTTAATTATTATTACTATTATTAACAATTAATATATAAATAAATACTTAGCCTGGATCATTATTATATTTGCAATGCACGACGAAAAGTAGTTTTATATAATAACACACCGGGCTAAACGTTGACTTATTTATTAATTTCTATACGTAAGCCGTTCGTTTATTTGCTTATACGTTAACCTGCGAGTGTTGACCATTTACTAATTTTTAATTTTAATTACATTTTTAATCACCGTTTTTGTTCGTTGATAATCATTATGGATTATTAATATGCGCATGAACGACGTAGGTACATTGTACGTGTGTCAACAGGTGTGCGTGTCTTGCTGCGACGATATGTACTGCAATATGACGGTGCCGACAAACCAGACGAATGCGGTGGTGACGATCACGCGGAAAAATCACATGAGCCCCACCAAAGGGCCGAAGGCGAAATCGGCAGCCGACTCACCGACGGTCGCCACGCGCGCGCTCCTGTTCCTGCTGTCATCCATCGTTCTGTGGTGTTAGACGTGGCCCAGCCGCAATTGCTGCGCTCTCATACGCAGGGCTTACAGTGGACGCGTGGGAGGGGGGCACTCGATCGGGGCTACCCAGACCCGCCCGGCCATGCCTTTCCGGCACCACTTGGAAAACGTTTCCCATCGACGTTTCTCGCGAAAACTCGCTCGACTGCCGTCGTTCGAAATAACGGTACGTAAAGGGATGCACCCCCTTCCGATGCCCCGCCATTTTAAGCCCTGTTTATGCGACGAAACATATAATTTTATAAATCCTAGTACTGTTATATGAATACCTACTTTCGATAATAACATAGTGTTACAATACCACGTATGCAGTTTACAATTAGTAGTTATGTAAGTGTTTAGTTTCAGCACGGGCGTAGGATGCAACACGCACACGGTCCAACGATAACATTAAAATACGTGTATTAATAGCAACTGTGCGACCGATGTACGACTGTTTTTTGTTTAATATGACGTTTAATTATTATTATTATGGAAAATCGCTATGCGGCTGTATGTGTGTGCGGTTGAACAGTCGAAAAATTGATTGAAACGAGTATGTTATTGAAAAAAATAAATAATATATATATTTATATATTACTACAAATTTATAAAACTATATGTATAATATTTACTATGTTATAAAATACACATGTAGATGGGCAGAACGAGTAACTGCGATGTTAGAGGTGGATTTTACTTTATTTTTTTTTCAAACTCACAATTCGGTAATTAATACATTTTCTCTTCCCGTCGTGTCTAAAGGCGACAATGCAAATTACATCGCGTCGACAAATCAAAATCCGACCGGGTAATAATAATTGTTGTAAAAAATAACGGACGAACGAAAACTATGCGTCGAAAGCGTAGGTATAAAACAGGTGAAATGTCTTCTGAGAAAGGTCTTAAATATTTGAATACCTCAATAATCGATAACTTTGATATGTTACATTACCATAAAGATTCGGTATGCGGAATAAATTAAGATAAGATTCTTTGTAAAGTTTTTTGAGAAAAAATATCCACCCCGTACTATTCGCTTTTTCTCATTTTTCCCAGTAACCTATATATTTATACTCAATACAAACATAAAAGTTTATCGATTTTTGTTCCCTTATGTTTAAAAATATTATGTTTTTAAATTTAACTAAATTTTGTTTTTGTTTTCTAATCAGCTCTTTGTTATTATATGTAAAATAAATGGTAAAATACTTAAGCGAATAAATACTTTTTCGTTTCGTTTTATTAATGTATCATTATATAATAGATAACGAAATAAAATTTACTTATTGTTATTATTTAATATATTATTATAATAATGTGTTCTTATAATTATGATTTCATTTTTATTGCAAAATATACAAAATAATAATTAGAAGATTGAAATATCTTCGTTAAAGAGAAAATATTCTTGGGTTTTATTTTTTATTTATTTTTTTCATACTGCATAAGAAAGTTGTATTCTTATTCAACAGCTTTTTTACCGCTAAAAATATTCGCAAACTTCAGCAAAAAAAGGATTGTGTCTTATAATTGGTACTTTTTTAATTATACCCGTACTTCAAATATGGCGTTTTACGTGATACCATCAAACCACACGGCGTCTAATTTTTATTTATATTTTCTTGTAAAAATATAGGTTCTAATAACTGAAGATGTCTGATTTTTTTTTTCATTCAATTAATTCAACTAGAAAAAAAATAGTTAAGTTTACGTAAAAAAAAAAGAGATTTCTCATCTTTTGATATTATTATTATTTTTGTAAAAACAAAGAAAATCATGAAAACATAATTATTTTTCTAATAATTTATTATAACGAAATAAATACGAGAATTCAAGCAATTTAGCACATTTCACGTTTTTAAGCAAAATGCGTTATAATTTCCACGTAATAGGATCAACAACCGTATATCAGATCACTCACTAATTTCGGTTTCGTTACAAGAACTATGGAAATCAGAAGATAATTAATGAAAAACGAAGTACAATACATCCAATTAAATTCCAATCTCATTGCAATTAACTAACGGGTGAAAAGTCAACAAAAAAATACAAGTAATAAAAATACTATAATAATAATGTTACTGTAATAAAGAAAACGCGATTTATATTATTTTGCATCCAAATCAATTATCCGATGAATACTTGTAATGATCATATTAAATGTTATTCATCGTTTACAGCCAGTGGTTGAATTGGGGGGGACGCAGAGGGTCTGAGCTACTCTTCATTTTTCTTCATATTATAGCGTACCCCTTAATTTAATTCATCAAGGAACGCAGGGGACGCAGCGTCCTTCAACAATTATATGAATATGAATTTGTTTCTTAGAAAAATTAAATAAATATGAAAAAAAATTGGAAACGATTAATATTTTATTTAATTTTTGGTATTAGTTCGTAATCTGTTCATTATTATTAGCACATATGTATATTAGGAACGCAATAATAAAATATATAATAATGTTATATAATTTATGTAACACGTTTCAAGTGTTTCCACTGCGTATTAATTCGTGGTATAAACTGCTAAATTGCTAAAAATATAACTATTACGAAAACTTCCCTGGGTGTACCGACGATAACGATCCATAGTAAACCAATGACAATAATAATATATTGACTTCGTATTTTGAGAATCCGTCCGTTGTTTTAGTTATCGACGATTAACAAATGGTGATCGTTTTCAAGGAAAATTAAATATTATTTATATTTTATTTGGAAACGAGGTACTCCACGAAAGAGTAATCAGTATTATGTTAGCTTGTCGCGTACTCGCGTATGTAATTTATAAATTGTATTTTTGTTGAAAATAGTAAACACCTCAACCGCACTCCTACAGTCCTACACGTCACGTTAGCAATAAACATGAATAAACGTCAAAAATTGTCCATATCGGACTTTTTCAATAAAAAGAAAAACAATGACCAAGGTAATTAAAACACTTTAATTTAATAATAAATCATAGGCGTGCGCAGATTCCTGTTACCGGTGTACTTTTATTTTTTTTTGATAATCCACCTTCATAAATCCCGCCTTAAAATAAAAAAAAAAATAGATATACAAAACATAAGTAGAAATAAAATTTATTAGTAAAACTGATGTACAATCTGATTATCAATGAACGTCAGTCCCGGCAATTTTTATTTTTTTGTAATTTGATAAAATTGATAAAAAAAACTTGATTTTCCAAAAAAAGTTATTAGCCCTTTTTACTTAAGTACCTAGTACCTACCTAAAAAAAAAGTTAATAAATACAGTTAAAAGTTCCTTAAATTTTTTTTGGTCATACATTTTAAAGCAATACATATACATACCTATGATAAAAATAATTATTATTTAACTCTCAGCAAATCTTAGTCCTAAAAATAATGTGACGGGATGAAATAAATTATTTGACTAATATTAAACTCCAAATATTAAAATTAATATTGACAAAAAAAAATTAATATACTAATAAAAGAGTAACATTTATAATCTATAAATTTAATATTTACTTTTTGTAGGCAACAGTAAAATACATGAATTATTTTAAATTGAAAGTTAATTGATTAATTAATTTTATCATGTGGCTATATATTTACATTTTAGATTTTAAATTTGCTAGACGTGTTGCTGTGTTGATAGAATTAATACAAATAAATACCTATTAGTATTGTTTATTATTTGTTATAGATATCTGTGTTAATCATTAGATATTTTTAATTATTTATATTGTAGATGCATTTAGGAGATGGGGGGGACAGAGTCCCCCATGGTTTTTTTTAGATTAATTTGCTTTGGAACGCTAATTGTTCAGCTACATTTAGAGTCCACCTTTATTTTTTTTTCCAATTCAACCACTGTTTACAGCGATTGTAATATTTGTACAGCAGCAAGGACACGTTACTGCAAAAGAAACTAAAACAGTAAACGTTTGTTTAAAGAAAATGGGGTAGTTGGCCGACGATAACTCCTTATATCATACGCAATGTTCAGGTAAACCCAAGTTGTTCGGCTCGTAACGATGAAATATGAGCAACCGATGTTATCGGTTCTCTGTGTCGTTTCGGCTGTATCTCATACTAAACCACCTAACCGTATTGAAACTTGAAACGGAATATTTGGGTAAGAAAGCGATCTACTAGATGCTGAAGCGAGCGTGAAACATTTTTACGATAAATTGTAAAACGTCGTAACATGCTGATAATGCGAATCATATAGCCCCCGACTGGTGACGTAGCAACAATAGAGTAATATCAGACCCGTGGGCACAGGTGGCACCTTGGAATCGTTGGATGGTTCTGAGACTGTAATTCCATAAAATGATCGAAAATGTTGTGTATCAATAGCGAATTCCCAAATCATGCGTAATAATCCCAGTTAAAATCAATGTTAGAGTAGAGTAATTATTGTTAACGATTTACGCGACATTAGGGCGTAACCAAGGGAGGGGGCAATCGGGGCGCACAACCCGCAAAAATTCCTAAAAAAAGGTTTGTGTTATGTATAATATAATAAAATTATTGAGTTTTCGATTACTTTTCGAAGTTCATTACATCTACAAACTAGAGTATTATAAAATTACACAAAAATAAAATAATATCATTTTATATTTAGGTATTGTGTAGTGACTATAGTGTGTAAGTGTGTTTACTGCGACCCTTCCTTAAAACATTTCTGGATCAGCCCTTGCACAACATTCAATATCATTCTCGTAGTAATAAACTGTATTTTAATTTTCACTCGGTGAATTCGTCAATTATCTGTTATTTATTTTCGTTATCGTTTCATTGTACGTATTAATATTCGAAAAAACAATATGACGTGTATATTTTAAATTTTCATCTAAAGATAATGGTAGTTAGGCGGCCTAGATTGTTTATTGCACCGGAACTCTTTCCTATTTAGTTACGCCACTGAGTCGGACAATGGTATTGATTTAAACGAAAAACTGAATTTTAGTTTATAATTACGTTATTTTATATTCTTATGGTGTAATGTGACATGGAGGCGTATTATATATTAGGTAATTTTCTTTAGTTATTTTTTTTCTTATAAACATTACATTTATTCAGTCCTATAAATAAACACTGTGATAATTATCACTACGCGTATTATTTTATAAATACTAATTTAAAAATAACCAAAACAAATACTTAAAAGTTTCTTTTTTTCGTTCTTAAAACTTTTCACAAATAATCCAACTTGTAGAGCATCCAATAATACTAACAATTATAAAACAAACTTTTCAGACAATTTATATAATTTGATAAGAAATCCTGTAGGACATGAATAATTATCATGAAATTCAATTTTCTCAAGAAATAAAATATTAATTCTCTAGAAACACTTTGTTTTATAACTATTTGTTCATTTACATATTTATAGTTTTCTAATGAAAATAAAAAAATTCACTTATACAAATGCATTTACAGATAAGAAATAATGAAAATAGGGTGTACATTTTCATTTTTGAATAACATTGATATCAATAAATTTTATAATCGGAGAACTGTTTTTAGACTTTAATCAAGTGTAAAACAGTAAAACAGTAAAGTACAACTACGAACTAATGCCATTTGTAAATATAATTAATTATCTTCTTTCGTATTATCATTCCTTGCCGTTAGTATGCAACAAAAACAATTTTAACAGGAATTATTAGTTAAATACGTGTTCATTTTACAAATCATTTGTACAGTTATGGTTAAATAAAATTAGTTTAAGAGAAATAAGAAAGACGGAGAAATTACTCCAAGTAAGCGCTTGAGAGGTTTTCGGAACAAATTTTAACTTTCATCTAAGTTTAAAATTATTAAAGTGATGCCAAGGTTGAAAACATTAATGTGCTTCACATAAATATATAAACGAGATCAATGAAGTGAAGTATTCTAGAATAATTTAATTTCAAAAGATCAAAGTTGTAGACCGAAATCGGAGACATTAAAAATATATTGGTGATCCGATTACTTTCTTAGTATACGCTCATATAGTGTACTATACTTAACATTAATACACAATGGTAAAGCTAAAGCAAAAGCTAAGGGAGCTATAAGCCATGGGCAAAATTTCAGTTTTTGACTTGGGGGGGACTATCCATGTAATAAACAAATTTACCTGTTTGGGGCTCCGCCTCCAACACCCCCCACGAATATTACCTATACAATATACTACATAATATATTTAGAATT